GACAGAGTGGAAAATAGCATGTGTGTGTGGCCCACATTTAGTAATTTCTGTAGAAAAATTATCCCACTGGCTGTATGATGTTACATTAGCCACACGGTTCCACTGCTTTGAGTCATCTCTCTGCTTCCAGAAAAAACCTAATCTCTCCAAATGAACTAGCTGTTAATTGAAGGAGACCTCAAAAGATCCCTAAACAATCCCATACACTAATTAAAGACAGATAAAAGTGATTGCAGTTTCTCCTGTTCTCTCCGGAGGCGACTGAATTTCTCAGGGGCTTCTTTCTTGGGGAAAGATAATTCCTCATGGCATTTCCTTGGTTTCAACTGCAGAAATGCACACTGTTTGCTAGCTGGCAGCAAAGACATGGGTGATGTATGAGGAGCAGCCCAGACTGAACATGCTGCTGCCATTTAATCCAGGATAATATATTTCATGATCATACTCCTGAGTTTTTCAGACACTGGTTTAACATGTGGGAAAGTATTTGTCTTGCCTTGGAAATGTTTCCCATTTGAAAACAGGCTGCAGTGGGAGAGCTAGCAGTTGCACAGGAGGCTGCTCCGTGAAAATTGTATTTCCCTGAGTGGCGCACTGGTGCTGGGTCACAGCGAGGACTTTTGACAAGCTCTCGGGAAAGGCTTCAGGCTGCGCAGATCTGCTGATGGAGAACTCCTCTGCCTGGTCTCTGAAGGACTGCTGCGGCCTCGCTGCTTGGCAGAACAGCGATTTTGGAACGGATTTGATTCCAGTTTTCTGTCCCCTGGGGAGGGAGAACGTGCAGAAGAAGAGTCAAAGGCTGGCTCACACTCATGAATTAAAAGCCTTGGGAACATTTTAAATCTCTAGCTATAGAGGAGAATCTCTGCTCTAACTTTGCTCTCAACTCATGATTATTTTTCTTAACCTCAGCAACTACAGAACCACTAGCTGGGTCTAATTTATCAGTAAGCATTACCAGGACATCTAGTCCTAGTTGAGAGAGCACCAGACCACTTGTCTGCCAAAGGTCTCATGCATGAGCTCAGGTGATACACTTCATTTTCTCTGAGGCCCCTACTGTCTACAAAGAAAGCAACAGCTCCCCCTCTCAGGGGTGATGTGAGGACATGATCTGCTGTGGTTGTGCAGTGCTCAGAGGGTGATAATGCTGGAAGAGGCTGATTGCTCCAGCCCTGGAAAGATTAGTTGCTGTGCCTAAGCCCTTCTGGAGACAGCTTTATTGTTCAGCATAAGCATGAGGAACAATATTGCGTCCAAAAAAGTTTCTCTCCCACCCTGGCTTGCAGCTTTCCTGGGCTTTTCCCTTGCATTTCCCAGCTGAGACGACCACACACCCTTTGGTGCTGGTTCTTTCCTCCAATTATCTGCAGCTTCCATCTCCACCCCTTCTGCGGCCTGAGGAATTGTCTGCCCTCGAGGCAGCTGCAGAGCGGGCCAGCTCATCCTGACCCCAAAGCCTGCACCTAAACCTGCCATTTTGAAGACTTTTTTCTGGGCCAACCCCTTTCCCCATGGGACAGAGGGTGTGAATGTGTGCCTTGGTCCTGCAGGAGATGTTAGGCAGGGGAAGCTGGTGTATGGGACATGTGGTAGGAGCATACCCCATCGTCAGCACAGTGCGTGCTACCGGTGAGGGTCCTTCGCATGGCAGTTTGCTGCATAAAGCTGTCGGATCTCCAGCTGACCTCCACAAAGCCGTTTGAGTGTGGGTAGAAGGCAGAATCCCCAGCTAGACTAGTTTGGGATGCCCATCCCCACCTCTTTCTTGAGAAGCAGGCATGTTTTAGTCCTTAGCAAGCTTGTATGAACTGCATAAAAATACAGGATGGCTTCCTCTGGTTCACATTGACAAAGCTGCTGCTGTGGGATGTGCACTGGCCAGGGCTGTACCAGCTGCATTAGCTGAACTGCACGATAGGAGGTAGAGTAAAACTTCCTGAACTTCGCAGAAATGCAGAGGGAGGGGGTCTGCAGCACACAGCCACGAGAGGGCACGAGAAGCAAAGCTGAGACCCTTCTCCAAAGGGCCTCCCTGCTGGTATGAGGATTTATGAATGGCTAGTCTTCTTTCTTGCAGCGATCCCTATTTTTCCTGAGAGCTTTTATGGGTTTTGTGCTTGTGGGTGTGTTTTCTCTAGTCCCAGGCTGGCATCTACAGCTGAACTGACACCTCAAATTTTGGTGCCTGAAGCAGGACAGCCCCGTGATGACCGTTCCCGGCTCATGTTTCCTGCATCATGGGTGAGTTCTTCAGTCCCTCTGTGCCTTGTCCGGAGGGCAAGGATGGATGAGTTAAAAGGTGAACTGCCTGCACCCTATGACAACAGCTGCACACGGCAGACTGACTTTTGGAAATGGGAAGTGTTTGATTTTCATGGCTCGTTATTAAACACCTGCCAGTGTGAAGGGCAGAGAATTTGTCCCATTCAGTTCAAAGAGCCACTGCCTGGCTCTGAGCTGGAGGTTTGCAGTCAACATCTGTGGGCCACCTCTCTTGCCCTTCCTGAAATGTCTAAACAAGCATCCTCAATTGCTCTGCGTTGCAATGGGACATTGGCACCTTGTTTCAGGGCCGAGTTGTGCTATTTGTCAGGAGAGGAAGTAAGAGGGACAGTGGAAACAAGTTGAAAAAAAAAACATTTAGAGGTGTGTTGACTTCAGGATATTCCTTGAAGGCTCTTCTTTCTCCCCAGAAATAGACACAGCAAATAGACATGTGTTGTGCTGGCACAGAAGCCCTGCCTGCTGCCTTGGGGCTGAGGGGCATCAAACACCAGGAACTGACCTGGAAGGAACTATGAGGGGCTGTGTAATATAGCCATTGCGCCCCAAGGCAGGACCACTTCTCCCTGAACCAGCCCTGACAGTATCTCTGTTAGGTTGAGGATGTGGTTAATGGTCCTTGTAGGAAGGGATGGGGAAAGACAGAAGAGAAAATAACGATGCCTGGAAAATTGTAATGTGAGTCAACACTTGGTGAGAGGCGAACACAGAGAGGTGAAGAGATCCCTGCCCAGGAGCATCCAGCTGTTTTCTATGCCCGGCTATGTTGTTGCTTTGTGATAGCAACAGAGTCGTAGCTTGTACATTGACTACTGTGCCCTATGATAGCCCTGTTACCTTGCCCCAGTTTCAGTCAGTTCTTGCTCCTGCTGCCTCAGAAAAGTTTACTGAGAGTAAGACATATTAGGCAAGAAGTCAGCCTTGAGGGCAACACTGGAAGATAATTTGATGATGTAAAGAGTACATGTTTGGTCAGGTCTACACTCCAGGCCTTGAACCAGCAGACCTGTTTCGGCAAGAAGTGTGGTTCTGTTTGACTGAAACAATTATGAATTCAACTTTGAGGTTGATTGCATCTTTATGGCCTAAAATTGCTTTATAGCTATAATTTATTCTTCATTTCATACAGGAATAGCTCTGGCAAGGGCTGGTCTTGCTGTAACTAACACCTGGATGGTGAGCTGAGAACAATTACTCACTGTCTGACAAAATAGGAACTTAAGGATGTCACAAAAACCTGTCAAGTGACATGTTCAGCACCGTCAAAGGGAGGTACTTTGTGTACTGAACCTATGGACTGCCTTGGGTGAGTCCCATGGGTGCTGAGGCGAGTTCAGCATTTGGGCAAGTTCATGGACTTTGACGTACAGAGATCCCCACCTCTAGTTTGGGCAGCATTTGAGCCACCGACTGCTGGAAGAGGGATTGCACCCTGGTGCAGGAGCACGGCACAGCTGCCTCATTCTTACGTTATTTGGCAGCACATGTTGGTAGGCATGGTCAGAGACTGGATATTGGACTAGACTGACCTTTAGTGTAATCATCCACACTCATGGGACTTTTCACTTCGATGACTGTGTCTACCACAGCTGCTTTGCCAGCACTTCAGGGTGAGCGTTCCATGTGCTCTTGACACACACAAGGCACCTGATGCGTAGATCGAGCCTTTGAAGACCAGGGTCTTCACTGAGGGATGGTCTGCACGCCAGGTGGTACATCTGAAACACCATGCCCAGATTTGACATTCTTTTTTTTACCTGGTTGAAGGTAAGGCTGCACTGACACTCACACTTGGAAAGCTACCACAGCACAGCAAAATAGATTTGTTTTTAAATTACTTTATAGCTCCTATGGAATACAAACATAGTAGTAAGGCTCCGATGCAGTGAGGACTCCTCCATTCAAACCAGTCTCTGTTCTTACAAAATCCTTACAGAATAAAATTATTACAAAATTTGAATTAAAATCATGTGTTTATATATTCTTTATAAACACTATTAGAAAGGTTTTTCAAAGCCACAGAGATAAAAGCTGAAATTGCCTTTATTCATCTTAGTGTAAACCAAGAAGAGGTAGAATTAATTATTTCTAACACACTAACCTTGTTCTAACCCTGTCCATTAGATGCTTCTAGTGTCTCTGAACTGAGCCCAGGTCTTGTCCTTTAAACACTTCTTTCAGATCATAACAGCTTATCCAATGTGATGGCTCAAATCAGGCATCTATTAAGTTATATACCCTCATTACACATATATATATAGATTATATATAATGAGTTACATATAATGCCTCAGAAAAGCTTGTGCATGTCAGTTCCTGAAAGAGATGTGATTTCTTGCAAGCAGCAAAATCCGAATAGAACCAGCAAGCACTGCCATGGCCCCCCTCTGCATTTTTGTAGAAGAACCTTAATAACACCTGGCAAAACAAGTGCACGTCTTAGGCTGTTAGCACAACCTAGCTGTAAATCAAGGAGCAAATTTCTTACCATTAATATTTGGGCTTTGTGTAACTGTAAGTCTTGAGCTCTGCAAGGTCATATCTCAGCAATAAGTAGGAGAAATTTTATTTCCAGGGGAATTTCTTTAGAATAATTCACTGGCAACTCTCCAATGAAGAATTTAATTCTCATATGTTACGGCAATAGTTCTGCTATAAGAAAAAACATTTTTCTCATTTTGTATTTGTTCAGAATCTGCTGCTAATGACTCCACTTTCTGTGCATCCCCTCTAGCACGTGGTGGTAGTAGTTCTTCTTCCGGAATAAATTGAGCAGGCTGACATCTTCTTTGCTGGCTTGCTTCATTGTCCTTACTCATCTTCCCAATTTGATGGAGATCCTTGACAATTATTTTTTCAGTATCTTCTAGTACGGTTGTCAATAAATTAAATAGGAGAGCAATCCAGGCAAGGCCGAAAAGAATCCAAATGGCCACCAGCGTTCGGTAGTAGGAAAAGTAACTCCTGCCAGGCTGTTTACCTGCAGATAAGATGAGAGAAAGAAAAAGAAAATTAGCAAGTTAAAATTGCTTTGCCTCTGTAAAGTGGGGCAGCCTAATGGATTCATCAATGTATTTTACGCTGAGTACTTTAAGGTGACTTTTTTGTTGTAGTGGAGTCTCTCTCCCCCAGCATTAGGTTAAGGCTGGGCAAGTCTCTTGTTGTTGCAATAAACTGATAGATGCTAGCACAAATATGCTGGCCTGTCAAAAAGTTATACGGAGATTGAGGTGAATTAGCAGCAGAGTAGGATATTTTTTTCCCCTTATAGCATGCCAATCCCAATTCAACATCTGCATCTAAGGGTCAATGCAATGATGTGGGAAGTAATATAAAATTGTATTATCTTGAAAAAACTATATTATCTTGAAAAAATTGTGTTATCTTGAAAATATTCCTGAACTCCCAAAGAACAAAAAGGGATCGCCAGAAACCTGGAGGATAATTTCCCATTGTGAAGCTGCCCAGAAGGATCCGGCATGCTGGCAACTCTTTTTAAGTCCTGCAGTGCTCTGTACTTCATGGATCGATGTGCAGGATTTTTGTACTTCATCATGCAAGAGCTCTGGAAAAGGGGCAGGACTGGGCTGGTTTGTCTTCATGGGTAGATATCCAACAACAATTTCTTTTTCTTCTGCTGAGGCTGAGTTGACAGAGGGGATGTCAGCCTTGCTACAAAGCATCTCCTTCTGTGCTCCTACCTGAAGTTCATGATGTGGGGTTAGCAAAGCAACTAATAATATCTTTGCAATGTTAACTCCAAACTGGACTTTGGCAGGGCATAAATTCAGTTTACAAGCCAAAGGAGAGTTTCGCCCTAGAAGTGCCACCTAAGTGGATGTTTCCCTACCCAAAGCATGCGTTATCTTATGCTTCAAGTACAACAGCTACAAACAAGTTTTGAATTACTAGAATATAAATAAACTTAAACCTGTTCTGTTCCACTTGGCCAGCACAAATCCATATGTCATCTGTTACCAATTCTAAATGCACAATACTCAGAGCTGTCATTGATTCTGCTTGTTTCATTGTGAAAGTGTGAGGCATTAAACTTATCACCAGTTTATCACTGTTGTTTAAGGCCAATTGAGATAAATGCTGCAGGGAAAAATATTTCAGCTCAGTTAAATCATTCTAATGAAGATGATGGCCAGGAGGCCTATCTAATTCTTATATTTAAACTGTATTTGTAAAATAATACGGCTGCAGAGGAGCAAATTGCTATGGAGGTAGTGTTTTTCAGTCTGTGACTTGCTGTCATTATTGTAAAACACACTTGTAATTTGGACAAGGGAAGAGAATGCACTAGTTTGATGTCCACCTTTTCCCCTGCACAGCACCAGCCACCCTCCACCTTCCTGCATTCCATGTCACCGAAGTACAAGGTGCTCAGTATCACACAGGCCAAGGTCATCAGTCCTATGGATCGTTAGGAAAGAAATGCATGTGCCCTAACGTCCTCCACTGCAGTGACAACGATTGGCCGGAGAAAACAGCGAGAAAAGAGGTCACTGTTGTGTGATACAGATCCGTTGCTGATGCCTGAGTTCTGCATCATGTTCATGGTAATACTGCTTAACCACTGTTGGAGACAAAGAATCTTTCTCTGGATTATGTGAAAAGGGGAATTGCAGGGGACACTGGTTTTCTGTGCTTTGTAGCAAGAGGGAGCAGTTAGCTGTCTGGGATCACTTGGGGAAATGTAGCCTAATCAACTCATGGCCATTCCAGGAATTAACCATCAGCTAGGCTACATGATCTTTATGATCACTAAACACATGCAAAAAAGCAAGATGTCAACTGGATCTTCAAAAGCACTACCCAGCCTCTTTAGCAGACTCAGAGAAATTAAGGTCAGCAGGGAACATCAGACAGTGTCTGGAAAAGCTTGTGGCCTCCCTCTGCCAAAGCCCTCAGCCTGATGAAAAAAATCTTTCAAACACACAGCAAGGCTGCTAGCCAATCTCCAAGGCCCGTCTTGCGTCTCTGCAAGGCTTGAGAGCCTAGGCTTTGTTGTGTGGTGGATGTCTGTCCACTGGAAAGGGACGCGAGGCTTCCAGATTCTCTGTTGGAACAGTACTGCTGTTCAAGTATTAGCTTCAGAGCTTTTTTCTTATAACCCTTTTGAAAAGATGTTCAAGCTGGCAAGATGCTGTCAGGACAGGTTGTTGTAGAGAAGTATTTGATTCTCCATGGAGTCCAGGTGTTTGACTGCTCCTTCTGTGGACACTGACTTGGCTCCTGGTGATCGTTTTGGAGTTCCTCTGGAAGCTTATTCCATGCAGAGTGTAATTTGGTTAGTAGATACATGGAAGTGTTTCAAGAAGCACTCCAGCATGCTGGAGTGTAGCTTTAACAGTTCGTCTTCAGGGGAAATCCTAAGCTCTGGTTTGTGAAGACAGGGAGCGTCCAGTGATGCATAGGAGACTAAAGCAGGCTGCTTCCACAGCTCATAGAGTGAGTAGATTTTCCCCACTTTACAATGACTGGCATTTCTACCTCTCATTCTGTTGTGTAAAAACATGTCTTCTGAAACGTGACCACTTATTTCTCTACTCTACACTTTGAAACATGAGTCTTAGATGGCTAAAGCAGATATACATGCCTTATTTCGTATAACTCTCACAACCTGTTCCCTTTTGGTGTATGCAAATTCCTAGGCTCCTTGAATTCCCCCCCTACACTTCTCCTTCCCCCCCCCAAATAAATGGTTTCTTTGCATCCCAAAGCACCACATTTCATTATCTTTAGACAATTTTGCGCTTTTGTTAGCACATGCAACCCCAGACAAATTAGTATTTCCCCCAGAACTGTACAAGGCAAAGTCTAGTCAAAGACTCAGACGGAAGATTTGTCTCTACAGTACATTGGTGGCCTGTGCAGTCAGCCCATGACAAGTATAGTCATAACCCTGGCACTCTGATGCGTCTCCTCTCGGAAATCAACCTTACCTACTACGTAATCTCCAAAGCCAATGGTGCTAAGGGTGATAAATGCAAAGTAAATTCCTTCGCTGTAGGACCAGCCTTCTGTCATGTGGAAGAAGACTGATGGCAAGCACAGAAAAACTAGGATCCCCGTTGCCAGGAAGAACAAAAGGGTCAGAAAATTAATCTTCTTCTGAAAAAGAAACCAATTCAATTATAATCATGATTTGACACACCAGCAGGCCATGTATAATGGTGGCTATTCAAAATGGGTGGTTATCCAGGAATACCTACCAGGACCACAGGAACTGAAGGATTTGCATTGAGTGCTCTTCCTCTAAAAGTACCCTAGCCTTCCCCTCGAGTAGGGGAAAGCCGTATATTATGAGTGTTGCATGTCCACAGCAGCCCTGGGGGATGTAGTCTGTTATCTGGTTATATCAACCTCCAATGGCTATGAGTACAGGAGGAATTCCTATCTGATGATTTTTACTGGAGTCAGACTATTTCCACTTTTCACCAGACAACTTCACTTTTTGTTTTTAGGTGTTCAGGTGTGGTGTCCACAGAACGCTCAAATCTGCCTGGGAAAATAGACTTTAAAAAAAATATTTACACCATTTCTGACACTACTCTGTCCAAGAGTCTTGATTGTTGACTTTCTCATTGCATCAGTGCCACAGCTTGGCTCCTACCCAGTGGGTACCTTGCTACAAGAAGATCTTTAACAAATGGGGTTCTGAAGAAGTGCCTGGACAGTGACTTTTGAACCATCCTGTCTCCCAGCAGGCATGAAGAAGCTTTGACTGGAGAAAAAGACTTGTTATATATTAAGATTTATCAGCCAGATACACATATAGTTTATGTATAGAATTTTATAAGTCCAGACTGTCTGGAAATTAATGGCAACTGTTGAATAATTTTTCATGCCTTCGTGTATTGTGCATGTGCTTGAGTCTATATCTGATCAAGCCTTATGTTCTATTTAAGTTTTCTGGACATGGGAAGAAATTTAGCAATTTGAGAAGGGTTGTCTGTAGCATTCATACCTTGTCCTGAAAGACAATTACAGTAGGAGACACAGAAAAACTGTTCTCACTTCCTCAGTAGTAGTGAGAGAAGGGGAGGAGCTGCAAATAACTTGGGGCATAACCAGGCAAGACGCACACTGTCTCTAGCCCTTCACAGGTGTGTCCTCACTTTTCTGCAACTGGGCTGAAATGGGCCACTTCAACCTGATATTTCCTTTCTGTCAAAGTCAAGGGAGGAGAGGGATTAAAGGACTGCATAACGAATAAGGAGGGGTGACATACTAGGCACTGAGCCAATATCCATTGAAACCCCTACAGCTCACCACTTTTTACAGCTTTTTACAGCTCACTTGCTTTTTGCTGCCTCAAGACGAGATGCTTAATCATCTCTCTCGTTACTGGTTATAAAGGGAGACAGGTGCTCCCCAGAGTGTTAGCTCCTGAGATGTGTCTAGAGAAGTGGGATGAGGCACCCACTCACTTAATTGATCACTAAACGGGGCTGGATGTCTGCCATTTAAATGGGTAGACAAAATGCACCCCTTTGAATATCTCCTCTGTGGTTGTCTTGTCTGTTTAGCTCTACAAGTGAAGCATGCCTCTTATCCTCTCTTAGCACAGTGTCTAACACAGCATGAGAACAAATATAATAGAGGATAATGCCAGCATAAATCCTGAGAAAAGAAACTGCGAATGAGCATGTAACTGTGCCTGAGTAAGTAAAACGAATTACCTTTCTCATTCCTTTCTCATACAGGAATTTCCCCAGCTTTTTACACAGCAGTGAGAGCATCTTACCGACACGGTGGAGGAATACAATATTCAGGGGGATTCCAAACAGAGCAAAAAAGACACAGAAGATCTGGCCCCCAGCAGTTTTAGGATGTAGCGTGCCATAGCCTATGAAAAAAGACGTATCAGAGGAGATATTCCAGAGAACTAGAGCAGTCCACAGTCACAGTCACATCTACCCCAACCTGGCCTGCCTTTGACCTCAGAAGATGTGGCTAGCACTTCTCAGTCCACATACACTCTTTGTTCTCTGAAAAAGACAGCAAGTAGGTGAAGTGATTCACCCTGCATGCTTCGCGGGATGCAGAGAACACTGTGTGCTCCCAATCCAGCCTCAGCGGGAATGAAAGCGCTTATGGAAAATATGCTCTGTCCTGTGACAAATACGTGCCAAGACAGAAACCGCAAGTCTGGGGACCTGGAAGACATTAAGGCTGGAGTCCCAGGCTGTCCAAATGTCCCATGTCCAACTCACATACATCCATCTCTAGCTTCTTGTCGATCTGCTTGTACGTTAGTGACCTCCCTGGCTAAATGGCAGGAAGCTGGAATTCCCAAGATACTGGCTTCGGTCCTGGGGGCAGTGCAGTTTGCATTAGAATAGACAGTGCTCATCAGCCCAGACCTTACTGGTGGCTGATGTATTCATACCAGAGAGATATTTATCTTGCAGTCCTACTAAAAGAGGATTTATCTGAGTAGCGAAACAACAGCTTCAGAACTCCAGACACGTCCTTTAATGGACTGGAGGCTTTGATCCTTTTAGACCCCAGCAGATACATCCCAGAGTGCACGAGTCCTGTACTTTGTGTATGTCCTTACTCTACCAGTGACCCTTGGAAAAGGCACTTTCCCGAGCACAGTTCGTCTGAAGGCACCAATTACTTGGAAAATGCAACTGAGTGATTGATTGGCTACTAGGCTCCCAAATGCTTGGGCTGTCTTGTGCTCCCTGTTACAGAAATATTCAATTTTCATGACAAAACCTGGTGAAGATGAGTGGCAGTACCTGATATACCATCACAATAGACCTCTGTGGCAAAGATGCAGTGAAACAGGCAAAGTTGCAGCCTGTCTGCCTCGCTAGGGAAACAAATTTGATGGAAAGTGACTGAGGTGTTTGGCGGAGAAACGCTGTAATAAAAAGATAAAGCAATACAGGTGGTGGCAAGGACTGGATTGGCTAGTAGCAAGGTGCTCACAGATTAGGGAAGATTTATCGATATGTGAATGTTGTTGTAACCATGGAACATATGTCATTGATGTGATGAGTCAGAAGCCTTTCTTTTACAGCAGGAGGTCTCCACATGGGTTCATGCAACACCTACGCATCTGCCATGATGCTGGGACACAGCTGCAGCCCTTGTGACATGTCACACTCACAGATCAGTGAAGCGGCTGTCATCTGCCATGATGCTGGGACACAACTGCAGCCCTTGTGATACGTCACACTCACAGATCAGTGAAGCGGCTGTGCCTAAGGTGTAGCGGGAGTGAGGCCTCAGCTTCACTCTGCAAAAACATAGATTGGATTTTCGCTGCTTGAGAGTGTGAAGCAAAGCAGGAGCCAACAGTGTGGATTTTATGTTTAAATTTGGCAGGCATGCACTTTTTGGGATGTGTATTTGAGAGCAAGGCAGAGGCAGGCAGGGGCAGGCAGCCACTGAAAAGGTCAGAAAATCTTCAAGCAGCAGTGTAAAAGCCTTAGCATTTGCCTTGCCCCCTTCCCATTTTTTTCTTCCTGATATATTATGAATTTAGTATGTGCACTAACAGCTTAGCATAGCTTATTGGACAGTGTCCATGCCCCAGCAGAGTTCACTTCTTTCCTACCACTTTTTTATGCTTTACAGCACTTCTGGATTTAAAGTCTATTTGACCCTAGAATAAAGACCAGAAAAGTGAATTTGTCTTCCACCCGCAACCGGCAGCAGACTGAACATTTTAACAGCTTACTTGACAAGCAGAAACAAGTGGGAAAGAATATGAAAGGCTACTGGTACTTCACAAGCCAAAGTAATGCACAAAGAGTTGTGCAATGGTGAGTTCTCAGGACCAAGTCCATTGCTGCTTACCATCCATGACAATGAAGGGCTGGAGTTTTTATCCTTGAAAGCATTATCCATTCAGGTCCTAATAACCAGACACAATAAGCATCACACACACACAAACACATACATGGAAAGCATTAGACCTGCCTATTGTGGAGACAACCGTGCCTGCAAAGAAGAAGGAGTTACTGAAATCCCAGTTGCTGTCTTCAACCTGTGATTCACTTCCAACAGGGTATACTCCATTCTGAATGGCTTCAGTCAGGTTCTGGGAGGGAAAGCAAAGTTTAATATCAACATGGCTGCTTTTCTCAAGTGCTTGCTGCACAAATGCTACAGATTTAGCCAACTGCTGCTCCTTTCCTGTGAATACCACTCACCTGTCCTCAGCAGTACTCTGACACTATTCACACCTTTGCGTCCAAGGTTGGGTAGCAGCCAGTTGCTGGTTTCGAGTGTTACTCTTTGTCCTGTTTATGCTGACTGCTCTAGTGGGTGTTAGAACTTGTGTTGGGGTCGATGTAGTTTGAGAGTTAGCATGACTAGGCCGCTTAACCGAAACAGCATAGCTGGACAGGCCGCTGGAAAGGGCAGCTAAGAATAACAATTGAGAAAGTTCTGATAGTGCACATGGTGTGGGTTAGCAAAAACAAGATGTGTTCAAGGACATGGAGGCGGTCTGTTGCTATTGGCGTTAGTGCTTAGTTACCAATCATAAGGGAATATGGGGTGCGTGAACAGCGTGTGATTTATGTCTGTAGCCTATCTGAATAAGCCTGATCGCGTGTGCAGATATGAAAAATGTATATAACCATGCAAGCAGACCAATAAATCGGAATCGGCTGTGCATTGTATCAATGTGTGAGAGTCATTCCTGTCCCTGCATGGATGCTGAAACTCGGCAAACTTGTTTCTTGTAGCTTGGTCAAGGCCCTTGATTTTTTAGGTTAAGTACTTTGGAAAAAATGATCCTACAGATGACTAGGATGTGGCAGAGCAAGTCTGTCCAGTGGCTTAAGTGATGAAGTGGCTAGCTGCTGTCTTTGATTTTGCCCTTGAGATGGCAGTGGTGGATCCAGGATCTAATCACACACCTGTACAGGCACACTGAGCAGTGACTCTGATCCCTCTAAGGAGGACATCCGTGAATTATAGCAGGATACATGTGACAGAGAATTTTGTTTTAAGTCTCTATTCTCATTGGTGTCACAGATATAAATTCAGAGAAAGTCCATTCATTTGCAAAGCATTACTCTTGGTGTGACCACAGTCAGAATTCAGCCTGACATACACACTTTTCTCCAAACTGTATTCATGAACACTTGTATACATATTTACAATGTGGCCTTTGAGATGAGGTTAGATGAACATCTCTCAGAGATGGTTTGGGTTGAGCTGAAACTGCCCTGCCACAGGAGGTTTGATTAGATGTTTCCCCCAAGCCCCTCCAGACCTATCATCTGTCAAGTTACGCATTTTCAGGCTCTTCACTTCTTCTTCGGTTTTCACAGAATCACAGAATGGTAGGGGTTGGAAGGGACCTCTGTGGGTCATCTAGTCCAACCCTCCTGCCGAAGCAGGGTCACCTACAGCAGGCTGCACAGGACCTTGTTTAGGCGGGTCTTGAATATCTCCAGAGAAGGAGACTCCACAACCTCCCTGGGCAGAGGCTTAATTCTAAGCACTGTCAATTTTTTTTAAAGTTTAAAAAAAAAAATCAAAGAGTATCCAGCTGTCACTGCCTTTAGCAAACAGGGATCATTGGACCGGACATCTGGAAAGCAGGCTGGTTTGTGCAGAAACAGCCTGGATAAAATCCAGGGCTGAGCCCTGCCAGACACAAATGGGAATAAACTGCACCGGAAAAGTCTTCCCCTCCAGCTTCCTCCCTTGCTATATTTTTTGCTGGTGTCTCAGAAAATCAAGGCTAACAGAAATAACTCCACAGCCCTTGCATGCAGATTTCGTTGTCTTGAAAAGTTCCTTTCTTTTTCTCCTCCCCCAGCTGCAAAAAAATATCCAATTTGAAGAGGGTGCATGCGTGTGTGAACTCCAGGCTAGCCTGCTGGTCGTGTTATTAGAAATACCAGTTCTTCCCCTCCTTTCCTTATGCTGTGAACCGGCCTATTAAGAGCTCCACTAGTTTTCCATGCGGAAGTGCTTACAGCAAGCTTATTTGCACTCCCCATTTTCTTCTGCATTGTAGCAGATAGGGCTAGGAAATACCAAAGATGAAGAGACTCACTCTCAGCTTCTTGTGCTGTGACCAGAAAAACCTTTCCCTTGGCCAGGCTACCTGTTTCACTTCTGCAGCATCTTCAAAAAATAAACCCTGACTATGCCACCCTCCTTGTAATGATTTGGGCTTCTTCTTTTTCACCCAACAGATTATTTCAGCCCTTGTGGTATTGTTCCTTTGTGCGATCTGTGACACTGTTGTAAGTGGCAACCACACCCCTTCATTTCAGACAGCCTCATTTTTCCTGCCATGACACCCATTGTAGATAAGCACAGCCCCATCGAAAGCCAAAACAACAGGAGGCAAGACCTGAAGGAATCAGAACGTTGTGGGATGGGGACTGTTAATAGATGGCACATAAGGTTTTTTTCCAGCTACACAAGCTGTATTTACCATCAATGTGATCTACCTGCTCAGAAGGGAGAGTGGGTTCAGGGTTTTCTA